TGTGTGTGTGTGTGTGTGTGTGTGTGTGTGTGTGTGTGTGTGTGTGTGTGGAAAGAGAGAGAGAACACAACCAGATCGAAGTGAACCCGGGGATTTTATAAACTTCGTCAGGATAAAACGAACAACCACTCGAGCACCATTCAATCAATACGAGAAGAAAGGATCTTTTTAGAAACAAACAAAAATAACCTTAGGTAATGTAAGTAAACTCGATGGAAATAGTTGTGATGATTGACAAAGAGTATCGGACAGAGCTGTTCCGTCCTGCTTAGGACTCGTCAGCAGTGCGCGTACTATTTTTTGTCCCCGTGCCACGGCTCGAAACCGCGCACATTTGGATTGGGACTTAAAATCCTTAACCCTGGTCTAAACGGTCCACGGCTATCGCTTCATAAGAATGGCTCAATTAGTTTAGAGTATTCAGTTTGAATTACCCTATACGATTGTTCAGAGGCACCAAACACCCNGTCTTGGGCGTGGGTTTCACTCCTTGGGAGATCGTTGATTTCACATCAGACCTTCTCCCATTAAGCTTTAGTCAAACCCGCAGTCCTTTAGCCTCGACGCACAAACTTTAGTTATGCCGCAGTAGGCGAGTCAGATCAAAAGGTATCGGAATAAGCTGAAGTCAACCGATGTTTAAAAAAAGCTTATTCTCTACAAATGTTGATCTTGAAAACCATGGTTAAATAATAAGATGTGGGGGGGAGGTCGCACACTGCACCGCATGCTGATTGGAGAACGTTTAACCGATGTGTTCGTAACGTCAAATCATTTGACACAGCTCGTGCATTTCCAGTGTTTCCGTTTCACATGCGCTACTGCTGAGTAAAAATCTCAAGTATAACATAAATGATACATTGTTTTGCATTCACAAGTGAACTCTGTTTATGAGAGATGGATACATGAACAGGCCAAAGATAATAAATATAGTTCACAAAAATACACCTACACCTACCATCATCAGTTTATTAACGTTACAACATTTGACATAATTACCACGGTCGAAACTCAACAATTACGAGCTTCCAGAGGAACGGTGTGCTAACGCGGTCCTTTGTGAATAATGTTTATTATCCTCGGCCTGTTAATGGACCCGTATTTCAAGAGCGGAGTTCAATTCAAGTGGAGATGCGGAACTGTAAGTATTCGCTTTTTAGTGAATGATGTCACTTTTGGATTTATTTCAGGGCTTTTGAATGCAAAACAACTTACAGTTAGAGATACACTTGAGATTTTTACTCATAGCAGTAGCGCATGTGAAACGAAAACACTGGAAATGCACGAGCTGTGTCAAATGATTTGACGTTACGAACACATCGGTTAAACGTTCTCCAATCAGCATGCGGTGCAGTGTGCGACCTCCCCCCCCCCACATCTTATTATTTAACCATGGTTTTCAAGATCAACATTTGTGGAGAATAAGCTTTTTTTAAACATCGGTTAACTTCAGCTTATTCCGATACCTTTTGATCTGACTCGCCTACTGCGGCATAACTAAAGTTTGTGCGTCGAGGCTAAAGGACTACGGGCCTTGGTTTAGGTATTGTAGGTTTTGACTAAAGCTTAATGGGAAAAAGTGAAATGTGTGCGATCATAGTTTGACGAATAACCAATAATCGGGTAAGGTATGACACTACATTGTTTCCATATGTGGTAGTATGTTGTTATTTGGAGCGAGTTAGGGTATATCTCGGCGCACACAATGCCCGTGACCACGTGGTATTCTGTCAACAAAAGGTATCACAAGCGTCAAGATGCTTGAAAATAAAGAAATCAACCAAAACAACTCTATCAACTTCACTGTAGTGGGATTAAAGTTTCGAAGGATTTCCAAAATAAAGTGAAGATTTTTTCTTTTAGTCCAGGAATAGAAATCGCGGAACCAGTGTATGCAAAAATGCAAGCAATCACAAATTTAAGAATTATATTATTTTTGGTACGCCCAGTTTCCTGAACCTGTAGGCATAGAAGGACAGTTTTCGAATTTTTTGAAACGCTGATGAAATGAACAGACCAGGATAGGTTATGGGTTAGAGTGACACCAAGGGACTTAAAGAATACAGATTTTGAGATGCTTTGAGCAATAACAATACAATTGGAGAGATTACTTACTAATGAAAGATAACGGGGACCGGTTTTAAGACTAGATGGAACTTCAGTGCACCTATTGATAGTAAGTACCACGGATCGGGGTAATGATCAGTCGTGAAGTTCATCAAGGCTGTCTTGGAGAGGTCGAAAACTGTCTAAAATAGGGAGTGAGCAACCAATCACAGTATCATCAACATACTGACATATAATAACACCAAAATCAATGTTAATAGAACACGACTGTGCCCATTCCCGCGAAGCAACCCTTTTCCTATAGAAGTAGTCGACCAGTACATTCAAGAGTTCAGGTGTCAGACCACACTCCGGAAGACGTTTAATAAGCACTCTTCGTTCAAGAGAACTAAAGGTGTTTGCATAATCAAGAAGAAACTAAATGAGCGGTAACTGCACCCTTGTCTAAAACGGAAGCGGTAGAATGAACAGTACGGTCAACAGCATCAAGTTTGGACAGATGGGGCTTATAGGCAAATTATAAAAGATCATGGAAGCTACCAAGTGGTATAAGCAATACGGTGCAGCAAAACATTTTCCACAGCTTTCGGCAGCACATATATGCACGTAATTGATCCATTAGCTGAAGAAGTTCTGCGAGTTGCATACTTGTGACGAATACATTTTCACTCAAGAGATGAGATTATAGTCTGGTTCAATAGTCGTGAAATGCTAGCCCACACAAGCGAACGGGAGAATCCCTCGATTTCAAACCATCCAAATAGGAAGCAACCTAGTATGACTTTAACCCGAGCGAATCGAGAACTCCTTTTTCTACAATTCGCTGAAACTGTTAATTTATTTGTTTGGGACTGTCTGGGTCGTGATAAGTGTATTTATTTATAGATAAAACATTAAGCTCCACGGCGTCCCTCAAAGAAATCAAAGGCTTAACAATACGGCTAGACAAATTATTCGTACCCTTCAAGGTGACCTCACTGTTCACTTACAGACTGAAAGAACTGACCGTAGAAAGTATTCCACGCTTGCTAGAAAGTGACTGAAACCTACAATAAACAACAGCGCTATCCTTGGATGAACTACCGAAACAATTTGAATCCAATGAAATTCGAAATCTGACATCCACATTTGTGAATTAGATGTGTAGATGATGTATCCGTAATACTCTGAACTCCCACAGCAGGTCAGTTCCACAAAACCCTAACGAAGTGGCCCCTGCTCTCAACTTCACATGAAAAGAGAAGAGAATGTCAACTACCTCCATTTGAATTTTTCATCATTAGATAACCAGACGGAAAAATATAGACCACGGTCTATCCGTAAATTGACCACAACAGATAGTATGCTAAGGTAGGACAGCAGTATCCAAGATCACCTGAAAAGTTGTGTTCGAACCCTATTATACTGAATGAATACACTCTCACACACAAGTCTACAACTCATCCAGCTGATTTGAATGTCATTCTGACTGGTATTTCCGTAATTTATCCAGGGTACCATGTTACCTCTGTATTTTTATTTAAGTTGTGTTATTTAGTAATTTCGATATATGAGTGTTGTATCCCTGTTTAAGTAATTAAATAAGCACTCAGTCAACTATGTAGTACGTTTATTTGTATAAGGTTCACATGTGGCCGCCCAATATGCCGGTGAGCAAGCAGAAGCTGGGGGACACGTAGGAAAGCGGCCCAAGTGTCACATATCATTCGTGTACGGTCAAGCAGACATTTAAAAGTCAACCGACCAATCAGCGTCGGAATAGTCTTATACCAATATTTGATTGGCTGGAGCCGATATTGTGATGGAGTCAGTTCGCATGCCGTAATCGCGTACGTGAATGCGAGCTGACAGCACCTGTCACTCACTCGACCAATTAATCAATCAATCAATCCAGTCACAGGCACGTGTGAAGAACGCACCAGTCACGTGTAGGCCACATCTCACCTCCCTTTCCACGTGTAAGTAGGGGAACAGGTATTTCACAGAAGGACAAGAACAAAATAAACGGAACACAATTATGTATGTACAAAACATGTTGCAGTCAACCTTAGGTCATAACAGAGTCGGGTGAACCAGAACAATGTCCTAAATTGAAATTATCGATTTCAAAAAGTGGATACCATATATATGGTGGTTTATTGCCAAAGTGATTCACATGCGTTAAAACAAACCATCACCAAAACTCGCCAGGACTGATACGTATCGTTTTTGTTCCCAAACAGACAGGAGGGCAATCCGGTTAAAATCCACTTACAGCATAGTCCGGATCTTCGTAGGCGATCTGTAACTGTTCCATTGCATCTAACATGGTTTGCATGGCCAGAAATATGTTCTGATGAATCAGGCCGATAAATGCACGTTTGTCATCTTCCGTGTAACCGGCACCGTGAATGATACGCATCTGTTTGACAAAGGTGCTCTTGCCAGCTTCGCCAGTACCTACCAGAAAAGGGTGGGATAGGGTTTCTCTTGCCCGTTATCGTACTGTGCATACCAGTTCCCAAATGCATGTATACGTCTTCATGATCTCAGGTTCTTTCGTAAAACGCTTAAGTTTCATTGATTTGCACTGACTATCCTTCGAACTTTACCTCCACGCACAATCCTCAGTTCGTCGATTCAACCATACACTCGGATGCACTTGAATCGAGTTTCGCTCTTATTAGAGCTCATCAGCAGTGTGCATCCACCGTCCCGTAGGGATTTGAACTCCGGCCTCATCGCATGGAAGGCGTTTGCGTTAACACTGTGCCAACCAACTCATAGCATGACTGAACCAAATTTCCAATTCATGTTTGTTCAGGTGTCATCTTCAGTGCTAGTCAGTGCATTTGGCCCGAAGGCAACGAAGGGAGACACAGATGACAATCTATTAACTCCAATCAAAAGCCTCCTGATGGCGACATCGGAACAAGCATGAATTGGAAATTTGGTTCAGCCATGATGTGAACTGGTTGGTACAGTGTTAACGCACACGTCTTTCATGCGATGGGGCCGGACTTCGAATCCCGACGGGACGGTGGACATGCACTACTGATGAGCTCCAATAAGAGCGAAACTCGATTCAAGTGCTTTCGAGTGTATGGATGAATCGATGAACTGAGGATTGTGTGTGAAGGTGAGGTTCGAATGATAGTCAGTTCAAATTAACCAATAGCAATTATCCCACACCACTAACCACAAGTAACTGTGAGTTAAATGCTCAAGTTTCAGTTTGAGATTAGTTAAAACACGTGTCCGAAACGCTAGGAGATAATTGTGGAATGTTCCACGAGAACAGTACGTACACACACACACACACACTGTTTGTCACGGTATCTTGGTGTTCCATCTACTCTTCGTCCTACTGAGCTTTTCGATTTTACTGAAAGCGTATAATTGATTTTTACCCACACATTGCGAAAATCGCTAAGTTTTCAGATAATCTCTCTAATAGCCAAAACTTAACTGATGGCTGTGAATTTTCCGTCGAAAAATCACTTTTCCTCGTCTCCCAGATGTCCTTTGCCAAGACAATCTCCTGTGGACCGGATGTATTTGATAAAAATCAGCGCGGCATTCACGTGTGTGTTCGTATCCCAATCGAGGCTACTAAACTTTTTACCATATATAAATTAGACTTCATTCAATCTTCCAAACAACAAAGTAAAAAATATACTGGGTCATTTGTTTTTTCAGATCTTCAGACGATGTCTTTTGTGTAGTGTTTCAGTATTACTTTGAGCTATGAGTGATGGGCTATGTGTAATCATTGGGCCTGTTTTTAAGAGATATCATTCAGCGTTTGTTGCCCGGCTTCGGTGAGATTCATATCAACAACTTACATTCCCTCCGCTGAAAAGAGTTTACTGAATCTCATGTCATCGGTCAAAAGATCAAGTCTTTCAAAGTGGCTCTGTGACATTCAATCAATGCGTGCATTACCCTCTACCCGCACACAGCTCCTCACTCAGAAACCCCATAATTTCTTGCACAACCCAAAGATTAGATTTTGAGGCATTGCATGATGTACCATAGTGATTAGCTTCAGATCCGAGTGCATCAATGTCATAAATCCGATATCCTTGAAGAACCTGCAAATTGCTGCTGTTGGGAGAATAGATAGTGTCGCATGTCTTGAATTCGGTCCCGGAAGCCTATGAGACACCTTAAATTTAGTTTGGTCGGCGTTTTCTATCATTGCCATGACTTACGCAATTACCCAAATATCTCTTCGTCTCAAGAAATCCTGAAGAACACTCTGTTCTGCAATCTAATAACGCCTCAGCACAAACGGTATATTTACCGCGATTTCAGATTTATACCTTCACGTTAAGGATATGTACGGATCTTTAATTAGTCCAGACTGGAACCTCATAGATGGTCTTTGGGATGACCATGATGGTCGACTAGATTATGAACGTCAGTTTAAGATTCAGGAATATCTAAATGGAGAGGAGTTAAGAATATGCATCGAGATGGAACTGGAAAGCCCGTTCAGACCAAAACACTTTCAACACGACGGACCTATAATTGAACAACCATAATTTCACATTCACTCCATAGTTTAATTCATAAATCAGCTTCATTTAGTTTGAAAATAAAAATCCATTCGGATTTGTTTGTAACATTGCCTTCATCATACATAATGCCACCAAAGTGAGTGCGCCACGCACAATGGAAAACAAAACAAAACACAAAATGCTTATTCTTTTGTTTAGTTCGCCTTGACTACCACTATGCATAACTATAGAACCACTGCCTGTTCATCCCCCCGCACTGAACCTAAACCAAAGCTCCGTGACCGGTCACCGTGGCCAGGAACACACTTACCCAACAAAAGCAGTTTGACTTCCTTTTTTCCAGCACTCTTATCCTTTTGCAGTTGTCGTTCAATTTCCCGACTGAGTCTCTGCTGCTCCCTGGCCTCCTCCGTCAGACAACACGACATAATTTCCAAGATGTGTCTAAGTCACATGCAGCGAGATCCAGCAGTAAAATTCAATTAATGTAAGAGTGTATCACACACCTCACTTTGTGTGACGGTTCGCGTCCGATGAGTAAATGAATAAATGTCCCGTGGAAATAGGCAAAATAAATTACTCTCACTTACAGTAATTTTGACCAATCTCTGACTTTGTTCCAGTTGTTGAATCTCATCTTTCGCCAATCCTTTAATTTTTGATACATTGTCCTAGCCACCGCGTTCTAATCCACACTAATCTTCTCTCTTCTGGGTGTTTTTTGTTCTGGGTGTGTAGAACTACCACGGCCACGGTCAGGTGACCATCATAAACACACACACACGGACAAATACGTGTGCACGTACACCTTCTTTCGTCCATGATCTGGTCACGATTATCCGGGTAAATGTATCTGAGCAGAAACCCAAATCCAGTAGAATTCGATCAATTCGAAGCAATCACGTGAAATGGATAGAATTACTTGGGCCAGTTCAGATTGTGAGTGGCAGTGATGCCTATAAGCAATTGAAGTAGTAGTAGTTTTTGTGAAAGTTTACGGATGTTCGAGTTGAAGGACAATAATCATTCGACTGGCAGATTTCCACTGAAAACAACTGATCTTGTATCGCAGGCCTGTTGATTTATCGCCGGACGAACGGTCATCATTCGAAGTCACTGCACAGCATCAACGAACCGGAGTTGGTATTCTTTGTTTTTAGCGGTGCATGTGATTACGTTGGAGC